ATATCCCACCCACTTTTTTTTCAAGACTGTAAGTAGTGTAATGCTACTTAAGAGGAAGGACCTCCGAATTTAATGTCCATCGTCGATAGGACCGAGCCAAAGGGTTCTCCGCTCCTTTTGGGATTCGAACCATGGCTATCCTTTTCGTTGTCCAACATGATACCATTTGAGCTAAACGTGCGATCCTTTATTTAAAAAATGTGTCCTAAAAATTAGCGCACTTTATTGAAGATGTCGTCACCAGTGCTGATTAAAGCGTCTTTTCTCAAGATACTTTTGTTTTTAATGGCGAGATCTGTGTGCTCTTTTCGGGGTTAGTTCCAGTCAGTCTATAATTAATTGTCACAAGTTAACATTCTCATTATTCTTATGCGTGCACCACAGTTTCGTTTCAAAATACAAACAAATCAGATCAGAGATAGAAAGAAGTTTGTTTTACAGTTCGATTCTGAGCCCCAAAGAAACAAAATAAAGTAGATGTACATGCGTTTTTGCTAATTTAGCAAGAGTGTGTGAATAAGAAGAAATGAGAACTTTAGGTTTACATATTTGGAGAGATTGGAAAACAGACCAAATTAATCAAAGGAATGTCATTTTGAAATAGCATAGTTATTTTTTTTTTAAGGAACTGTTTCTATATATGTGACTTGCACAATAAAGAATGCATGAGACAGAAGCAAACATAGACGAAAGGAGTTTAATTAATTAAGAAGGAAAGGAATTTTTAAAAATTGCAGAGGAAAGGGAAAAAATACCGAGGGAAACTGTATTTGAAAGAATTTTTTAAAATCTAAGCGTGTTGAACTGTAAGTAACGTGCCCGGAAAAGATGTAATATCCGTTTCTTAAGCTGAAAGACTGCACCGAGACAAGAAAGAACTCCGAAAATGAGAAATGAAAAAAGGGACATATTTTTGTTGCGATCACGTTGATGTTTTTCCAAAACGAAAGCTTCTTCCATCCATCTGAGGGCAGAGAAATGTGAAAAGGCGATATTTTTGTTGCGATCACTTTTGTTAATAAAGTTTCTTCCACCCTTGATAGGACAGCGGCCACCCGTCGACGATGCGAGAAAAACGTGGGTGTTTGGCGCAAACTCGCCGCTGTCTAGGGCGCCGCGCGGAGCGAGGTGTGCTTTAGGAAATAAACGGGTGTAGGGTGACCGAAATGGATCCCAAAGCTGAAGGGGAAATGAGTAGAAGACACCACGCGAGGCTGGGTCCTTTGTGCCAACGTTTCACAGATATGATTGTCCTGCTTTTAAAAAAGAAGGGGGGAAGAGGTGAGGCGGGAGGGCAGCCAGCCCTGGTGCGGTGATTTATGAGGTGTTGTGAAGGACCCTTGACTAATTGGCTTACGAGGAGAGTTTGATTCTTGTCCGGTAAACCGTGTGTAAGGAGATTAGAAAGATGAACTGGAGTATAAAAGGATTCGAATCTCGGGCTGGTTGGATAATGGGTGGGTGGCGTCGGTGCTGGGTCTTTGAGGAAAGAAAGGAAATAGGAATCAGTCTTGAGAAGATAGCAAGCCAAACAAACTGGTCCAACTCTTGAAAGGAAATGTCAACAAAAGACCTGTTTTACTTACATCGGCACAAACCGACAATGATCCCAAACCTTTGTTCAAGGTGATCCGGTTTCTCCAAAGAAAATATTTCTATGAAAATATTGCAACTAGGCGTCTGAGGGGTGGGGCTAAAACTGCTTTGTCACGTCTGCGTTCACACTGCCAGGAGTATGCAAATTGCCTTAAGAATAACATTAATGTCTAGCGAGAGTTGAGCGTCCCTAGATCCTTATTCAAAAGTCGTTTTCATCTATGCATGCTGCTGGTAGGAATTTGTATGTTATGGCTAACCCTAGGCGCCGGCGATTCATAACGCTGGACAAGATAATCGGTATATCCTGTTTATATTTTCATAGTGCGCCATACGATGATATATCATGGTTTCAGGTGCGATTTACAGGGTAAGATTTTTGCACTCTGAAATCAATAATGTTATGTCAACGATTGTAGAGTTATAATATGAAGACAGAGCAAAAACTAAAGGTTGCTGGGTCGGAACTTGAAGCATTCCCTTTGAACGTTTATTCGTGTATATGCGTGAATGTTTGTTCTCGAGTTTTCAAATGTGTGTGCGCTACATGTTGTTTTGAGGGTTCGTATATCGGGGGAATGTGGATTTGTCACAGAAAAGTTGGGGTAAGGGGGACGACTGAGAGAGAGAGAGAAAGAGAGAGAGAGAGAGAGAGAGAGAGAGAGAGAGAGAGAGAGAGAGAGAGAGAGAGAGAGAGAGAGAGAGAGAGAAGAATATGAAATAAAGTAATCAAACTACCGAACCAAAGTCCTCCCCAAAGGTAAGAAGCAAATAAACAATAGTAATCCCCACCACCAGAAATGAAAGTCCCACAATCATCAATGACAGCATTTTCGTCATCCTTAACTTCGTCACTACGTGTTGCAAAAACGATAACTTGGCAACGATAGTAGCTGCAGCAGCAGCAGCAGTAACAACAACAACAACAACAACAACAACAACAACAACAACAAAAACAACAACAAAAATACCAACTACAACAACATGAGCAGCAGCAACAGCGGCAACAGCAGCAACAACAACAACAACAACAGCAACAACAATAACAACAACAACAACAACAACAACAACAACAAAACAGCAACAATAGCGACGACAACAGCTAAACAACACTTTGGTTTATAAGTACGTATTCAAATAGATCTGTCAACATTCCCCAAAGCCCCAAAGACGTTCCCTCTCAACAATAACGACTTTCAAACTGTCACAGGTCTGCTGGAGGAACGGCAAGATGGAGGTGATGCCTGGGGGAACTACAACAAGAGGCTGGGTGAAAGACATGCGCACCGCCAGGGACCGCCACGAACAAAACGTTCATTTGGTGCGGGATGGGGACAGAGTGCTCGTTCGCACCATGAAGCACATCCAAGCTGGAGAGGCTCTGTGTTTGTGGTACAGTGACGAGTTGGCCCTGGAAGTCGGGGTTCCCATCCTCACGCCTTCGAATATCCGTGGTAAGTTGATTTTATTTATTAATTCATTCATTCATTCATTCTATCATTTATTTATTTATTTATTTATTTTTTTTTAAAAATTTCATTCATTCATTCATTCATTCATTCATTCATTCATTCATTCATTCATTCATTCATTCAATCAATAAATTCAGCTGAAAATATTATTTTTCGCTTTTTTGTTTCAAGTTGTATTTTGGACAGCAACAATTACTATTCAGAAGTGGCATTTCCACTCTCCCATCTTTTATTCACGTGTAGTTGGAAAGCGTCACTGGTAGGGCACATAATTTCTTTTCCGTGCCTTTTTGTTTTTATCTATACATCTGTCTGGCTGTTTGCTCCAGAAAATGGTCATTATCGTGGCGGAGCGATTTTTTTTTTTTTTTTAAGATTTAAAATAACCCAATCTACAGTTAATTAACCTAACTGTTCTTTTCCCAGGATACCAGGACTACGAGTGCACACACTGCCGCGCTGTGTTCCGACATCCCAACACACTCAAGTCCCACATGATGCACCGCTGCCTCACGTCCACAGTTGTCCTCACACAGCCCAGCACGCCCCTGGTCCCGTTCCAACTCCTGTTACAAACAATCAGCCGACCGGCCCCAGAGTCTCTCGCTAGTGACGCCGCTTCACACAGCGGACCTCTCCCCGCTCACGACACTCAGCCTCAAAGGACAAAATCTGCAGGTCTATTGACAAACGCCACAAAACGTGCCGCAAACGACTCAGAAGCTGAAGAGGAATATTCGCATAAATCTGCTTTCAAAGCACCATCATCGCGATTGCAGCAGAAAGATTCCGTCTCCGACGAGGGGTTGATGACCCCCGACTCCTCCACGGACAAACAAGCTGCCGTTCTCAACCTGTCTCTCAGAAACGGACTCATGAATGCCGCTGGAATGTCCGTCCCCAACAGCAACGGTTATGTCCAGCACTGGGGCGCAATGGCCGCCCAGCAAAATGCTTTTCTCGCCCGAAGGTTCCACGTCCCCTACAACTATAACCCACACGTACAGCCTTATTTCCCTCTCCAGCCACACTTCCACAACTTCGGCTTGCAATTTCTCCAATACGCTCGTCCTCCACAGCCCCGCTGCGAAGTCAGCTCACTAGGACCACTTTTAGAAACCGCAAATTGTAATGACGTCATGCCCCTCCTCCCAACTCCCAGAGAGAGCAAATCGGAAGTCGTACCTCAAAGAGCGCCCAGACCTTGTCCTCCCCCTTCCTTGTCCCCCTCGACGAGACAAACACGATCAGTCAACCCTTACGGCATCAACTTGCCCTCAGACAAAGAGCCTCTAGATCTGCTACCACAAGCCTATTTCGCCAACAAATCAAAGCGTGGCCACCTTTGTTTGTATTGCGGAAAACTTTACTCTCGTAAATACGGCTTGAAAATCCACATGAGGACCCATAACGGCTACAAACCACTCAAGTGTAAAATCTGCTCCCGGCCTTTCGGAGATCCGAGCAATCTAAACAAGCACGTGCGCTTGCACGCGCAAGGTGACACCCCCTATCGCTGTGACTATTGTGGCAAGGTTCTGGTGAGGCGGCGAGACTTGGAGAGACATGTGAAATCACGGCACCCTATGGGAAACCTCCAGACTGCCGACGATTTGGCCAGGCGGCAGGAAGGAGAAGAAGGAGGAGAAGAGGAAGAGGAGGAACTATCTCTTGACTCCAGTTCCGTTAGCGTCGACAGCCACGAGGAAGACGAGGAGTCTGTTAATATAACCGAGCCGATCACCCCATGATGACAGAGAACCATTAGCGTGTTATGTTTCCCAGCAACTGCTACCAGACACCGCTTTTTCAAACGGTGTTTTTATTTATTTATTTATTTATTTATTATATACAGTAAAAATAGAAGTTTTAAGAAATCCTGGACCCGCGTCTGTGGTTTAGCGGTTAAGCAATTTGCATGAGAACCAAGTTCAATTCCCGAGTGTCGATAAATTTATTTTTTTCAAATCAAGAACCATGGTCTTTCTGCTGGGATGTTAAGTTATATCGTTCTCCGCCCGGGTTGGCCCTGGCGGGCAGGGTCGGAGGCCAGTCTCCTAAATGATCTAACTTGTGTCGATGAGGACGATAATAAAACAACTACATTTTACCCCCCCCCCCCAAAAAAAAAGGACACGAGGTCAAGTTTTGATTGGAAATTTGAGTGCGCAGAGGAGAAAACAAAATGAAGGAAAAGAAATGTTTCTACTACACCCAATCTGAAAGAATTGTCTTCACATTTTCTCATTAAAGAAAAAAACCCCAGCAAAACAACCCCAGTCTACATTAGTACTCAACTTACTTTGTTATCTGCAATAAGTAGTATTCTGTGATGTGTGAAAAGTTACTTAACTTTTTTTTTTTTTTTTTTGAATTGAAAAGTTACTGAACTTTTTTGTTCGTTTTGTTTTGCTACCGAAACAGCCCAAATGTTGCAAACTGTGAATGAATGTTAAATAGCATATTGTAATCCACCACCACCGTCATCATCATCATCATCATCATCATCATCATCATCATCATCATCATCATCATCACCATCATCATCATCATCATCATCATCATCAGTAACGTTGCTGCTGTTATTGTTGTTGTCACTGCTGTTAAAGTTTGTCAATGTTTTATCCCAGCTCAAGAAGAAAACTTGCCATTTTGGTTTCTGTACTGCAACAAGGATGAATCTTATCGGTGAAAAGAGACAAGCAGCGTACTAGGAGAGATGGATTTTAAAACAATTTATACATAATTAATGGGAGTTCAAATCTCCATGTCCAGTACGGGCTAGACTAACCGCACTGCTCTTGTCCGATGGAATTTTTAATACTTTTGGGTTCGATAAGACACATTTCAGTCAGTCCTCACCGCCAATCGCTATACTGTTTTTCCCGAACGCCCATTACCTTGTCCTTTTGGAGAAAGACTACACAACCCTGCAGCACTGAAAGAAGAGTTAAGTTCACACCAACTTTGATACATTTTTTTGTTTTGCTGTCAAATTTTTATTTTGTTCTTTGTTTTTTTATTTGTTTGTTTTTTGTTGTTTTTGTTTTTGTTTTGCTTGTTTTTGTTTTTATTGTTTTTGTTTTGTTTTTGTTTTTGTTTTGTGTTTTTGGGAGGGGGGGGGGGTGTTGTTTCAACTATATTTATCAAATGGCAGAATGATTAGAGACAAAGTGCTTCATTGCAGAAGGTTCGAAAATCAGTGTCCAACAAGACTTAGTGAAAAAGCTAAAAAGAAGAAGTCAGTATTCAAGTGTTATAACGATATCGGAAGGAAGAGAAGAGTTTCCCTCTGAAAATAAAACCCCCAAAACATTTTAAGGTGTTCTGTGAAAAGAGCGAGCGCTCACAATAAATGATTGTATTCATCATTGCCATATTATTATCCACTTGAATTAATTGTGTTTTTGTTGCTGTTTTTGACACGACAGTTTGTAGAAAATTCTTTTCATGAATAAAATGTTCAATCATTGAATGATTTCACTGGTTAAGTCTTTATATCGTCAACTCGAGATATCATAATAATAGTACACTTTAATTATGAACAGTAAGATGAGAAACAACAACACGGCAAGGATAGTCGCAGCAGTAATAGCAACAGCAACAACAGCAACAGCATTCGCAGTGTGCACTGTATGCTTCCGCGGAAGCTGAGAATGTTTCTGAGTGTTCTCAGAGGGTCTGCTGGGGTAATAATACATGTAGTTGTAAAGCGCATAGAGCAAGCTCTTGAGCATGGATATGCGCTATATAAATGCAATTATTATAATTATTATAATTATCAATTATTATTATCAACGACAACAATAAAACCTGCTCTATTTTAATCCACTTTTGATTTTCTCAGCAGCACCCCCCCCCCAACCCAGCTCTCCCGCCTTTTCTGATAATCGATTTGATTACCACTGTCTGTCTGTCTGTCTGTCTGTCTGTCTGTCTGTCTGTCTGTCTGTCTGTCTGTCTGTCTGTCTGTCTGTCTGTCTGTCTGTCTGTCACATTAAGAAGCAGTCAGTGAACAATTGAGGTTTGTTCATTTGCACATACAGTGCGCTATAAGTCTTTGGTGATGATAAAGAGCTCAATGTTGGCAATAACAACAGGCTGAGCTATATGCCTTTAGAAGAACCGGCCACAGTTTTTCAAGAACGATTATCGTATTTTCAATTGTTCTGCACAATAGAAATATGCGGTAGAACCTGCTCTGATGATCACCTGCCCAAGATAATCACCTGTACAAACGACCGCTTCCCGATGGGTTACATCATTATCATCATCATCATCATTATAACGATACCGTAAAAAAAACAAAAACCCAACTATCTTAGATTAACACGCTTCTCCTCAACAATGGATACTCGTTTTGGACAGTTTTGAAGTTTTAACATTTCAGTTGCCTTTCTCTTCTCCTTTTTTTTTTTTTTAAATTTCAGCCACAAAGACCCGCCAAGGAAATCATAGGGTGTTGATAGTGAAAACACTTCATATCCAAATTGTTTTTCTTCAAGGCGTAATTGATTGCCCTGGTTTATGAGAGCTTTACCAGCCCAATAAGATATGACAGTGAAGTCTACGAGAGCTTGTATTATTCTTATTGTCTACAGAATGTGCCACAATGCCTTGACGGGTCTGGTTGAAATTAAAGGAATCACCAGGAAGAGTTTTGTTTGGTTCTATTAAAAATTTTTATTTAAAATTAATTTTTTCCCTTAGGAGTTGGGGGTGGTGTGGGGGGGGGGGGACACATTGGCGCCTGTAATATAAAGGGGTGTTTAAAGCTGGTTGTATTAGAAAGTGATATTTACGGAGTCATTTGATTTGACTCTTGAAACTTCAAATCTACTTTACTATCAATAGGGCTACAAGAAGGGCGTGATTTTCGATTCATAAAGTCCCATTTCCAATGTGACCAAGCCAAGTGGGTGGAGTGCTGTAAAAAGAAACCTCGGTAAAAGTCAAGAGAGACAAAGTCGCTCCAATGTTCTCCAGCCCGTGTCTTGTCAGGACATGAACATTCTTCTTTTTTTTAAATACAGGTGTTTTTACGCCCCCATTGACACGATTTATATCATTTGGGAGGGGAGTTTCCGACTCTGGCTGTCAGGGCCAACCCGGGCTAAGAGGGACAGAAAATCCAAGCAGAAAGAACAAGATACATTTTGTACTCGATACAAAATTTCTCCCCACGCGGGAATCGAACTTGGGTCTCCTGCGTGCGACAGCAAAGCGGCGCCTATAACCCAACCGCTGCTCCACAGACGCTAGTCATGAAAAGTCAATTTCAGAAATTCTTGTAGGACATCATCATTATTGCCTTTCTCACCCTGCACCAGGGTATAGGCCACGGACAAACACCTTCCACCTTTCTCTATCCTGGGTTAGCCTCTTGATGTTATTCCATGTCTTTCCACTTTTCTGTACATCGATTTCTGTGATTCTTCTCCAGGTTCCACGAGGTCTTCCCCTTGATCTCTTGCCTCGTGGGTTTCAATCCAAAACTTTCTTTGTTATGCAGCTGCGTGACTTCCTGAGAGTATGTCCAATCCATCGCCACCGCCTTCTCCCTACCTCATCTCTGACTGCGATCTGTCTTGTTTTCCTTAACACTTCCTTAACACTTCCACATTGGTGACCCTGTCTGTCCATCTCGAGGGACAGTTGAAAACAAAATGATAACTGCAAGAGTGCTGTTACCGATTGTTTTACGATTAAAGTGTATCCTTAAGGGACGGAAGAGGAAGGACGCACCATTAGCTCAACTCGTACAACACTGGGCAATGAAGCAGATGGCCCTGGTTTGAATCTCCACTTGCGCGGTTCTTGAACTTGGATTATTTGTGTAGATTTCAAAGCTCTTCCCCAACTTGGAATGGCCATACAGGAGAGGGACAATACGTTTGAAGACCACGCCTCTAAAATGACCTAACAGTTTTGAATGGAGCGACAGTTGACAGAGGGGGCAGTTCTCTGCTGGCTACCCTTAGAGTTTGACATTATTGATATCTGAAAGAGAGAGAGAGAGAGAGAGAGAGAGAGAGAGAGAGAGAGAGAGAGAGAGAGAGAGGGGGAGGGGGGGGCGGAGGGGGAGCGAGAGATGGGGAGAGGGGAAAAAAGAAAGAGAGAGAGAGAGGGGGGAGAGAAAGTGAGAGCACCTAGATGAGTGAGAGAGATAAAGAAATAGAGGATGGAGGCAGAGAGAGAGAGAGAGCGAGAGGGGGGGGGGGGGAGAGGTATCAGAAGGCACAGACAGAGATGGACATGCGCAGTACCAACCAAAAAGACACTCAATCCACCGTTCCAATATTGTTTTATTTTATTTCAAATGTATCGCATACACTTCTCGCAAAGGTGTTATCCTACACTGAAATAATTCCAATTGTCAAAGACGTTTTACAACCTCTAGATAACAAATCGTCACAAAACAGGATAAATAAACCAACTCATTTAGCAATACTTGTTCACTTTGTAGACCAAAACATTTGCCTACAGCCTGGCTGTATTCTAGATACAATAGGATTTTGAAAAAACCACTTTTGTATTGTTATAATATTATTTTGACATTTTAATCGCATTTCAACACATTAAAAAAAACCAACACTATGGCATCTCATTGCCTTATGAAACCTGAATGGTATGTTACTGACCAATTTTATAGGTGGCCACATTTATAATTGTTCGCAGTAAATGGATTCTCCAGTGAGCGGAATAAAGTATAAAAAGTACAAACCAGATTTACGTAAAATGTATACTAATAAATGACTCAATTTCACAGAGAATAAGGGAAAAATACTTAGATTCATTTAACTAGAAAAGGAGAAAATACATAAGTATTGAAAAGTAAGTGTACTCAAAATCAAATAAAATCTGAGAACAAAATTGTAATTTCTTTCTCACGCTCTAAAAACATGCAAGTCTTATATTTCAATGCAAAATAAGATCGGTCTATTCGATTTTGCATTCAACATTTTGAAGACATGCTAGTACTAGAAATGAAAATGAGTATCACAGGTGTATAAAGCTTTTCTGGAGGCATACTGTACAGACGTTCCAAGCAAACAACACGTAGGATTTAAACATATTTCGCTTCACATCATCAGGTAGTGTTAAAACACTAATTGTTTGAACATATGTAGTTTTGTTTCAGATTCAAAACGTATGGTCTAACTTCATAGTATGGGCATGTAACAAAAAACAAAAAAGAAAGAAAATATATTTAAGGCTATTTTCTTGTTCATTCAAACATATTTCATACGATGAGAAACTATTTGATTTCTTGAGCTGAAGTTTAGGACTGGCCTTAGGACAAGTCCTATACAAAGCACTGTATGAGCACTTTACAAGCTTGGGCTTTCTGGAAACAGTGTAGGTCGTACCTACGTCCTCTCAAAAAAAACAATAAATGACCTTACTGACAGTCCTTCAAATTCTTTTCCTGAACATTCAGAAAACAGGTATTTTACAAGACACTTTTTTTCTCAAGTTCTGATAAACTTATCACACAAAGGTTACTAGCGTCAGACTAGATGCTTGGTATCTGATACAGACGCTTTACTGTAATAGTTAATAGTTTTTAAAAAAGGGGGGGGGGGAGTCTCAACACACTTATCTGTCTGTGTTTTACGTTTTGTCTATCAATTCCATTCATTAACAAAATATACAGCCAGCTGGAAGTTGGGATTCAAATTTCTGGTATAAAATGCCAAAGGTTTTGCTTATTTATACACGAACTTCAACACTGCACCAAAACAGAGACCTCTTCAGGTTCAAAATTTAAAATTAAGATAAAAAAACAGAATAAAAAGAAGAGGTCTTGTAGCTCTGGAAAGGCAAGCTTTTCACTTTCGGGAGAGGGTCGTCAACTTCATGATCACACATCGTCCGCTTAACCTCTCTCCCTCTCTTCAGATAACGATAGTCCGAAATAAAAGAGAAAAACTGGAAGAACAGGGCATCGGTTGATATCTAAACCCTAGCTCCCCACAACAAATCCTTCTCTTTTTACCAGCCCGAACCTGTTGTGAAGTTCCGAACAGCAGCGCCACGCAACCCAAAATCACAGTGAAGCTAGAAATATCATAATTACGAATTATCCAATGAGATAGCTGCCTATTCCTGAGCCCCACCCTCTGTCTCCGCCGCTGGTTCCGCTTCCGCCCCAGCGTCCCCTGCGCTGGGTTCCACTTCCTGTTCCGTGGCCGCTGCCGGCTGTTGCTCCTGTTGCTCCTGCTGCTCCTGTTGTTCTTCCTCTACTGGGGCTGCAGGCGGCTTTTCCTCCTCAGGCTGCGGGGACGAGAGACAGAAGAAAAATATATATTCTTCAATTTTGTTTTTTTAATATAACATCCCAAAACTTAATCTGGGTACGTTGTAGTACCATCTAACATCCTAAAAGTTAATCTCGGTACGTTTTATTATTTAACAATCCTAAAAGTTAATCTCGGTACATTTTATCATTTAACATCCTAAAAGTTAATCTTGGTTTGTTTCTATCATAATACATCCTAAAAGTTAATCTTGGTATGTTTTTATCCTACAATACCCTAAAAGTTAATCTCGGTACGATTTATTATATAAAACCTTAAACGTTAATCTTGCTTTGTTTTTATCCTAATGTAACATCGTAAAAGTTGATCTTGGAGTCCTATCAAACGTCTATCGCCCGTATCTCTCCTCCCTTCTTTTCTTCGTATGTCACTCTCCAGTAACACCTCTCATCTTCGGTGTTTACATGACTTATTTGTGTTGCAAATGCCGTAAACCTGTGACTCGAACTAAATTAAAAGTTAATCTTAAACTGACGGCGTCGGAGGAATCAATGTTAGGCTCTCCACTTTCCACGCAATACACGAGAATTGGATTCTCGATCGGAGAAGATCAGATTTTATGAAATGAGTCTCGGTCCTTCTGTTGGGAGGCTGTACCCCGCCCAGCTCGAGTTGGTAGAGTTGAAGCAGCCCGCCTCCAAAGCGATCTAAATTAAGTTAACCGGGAAGTATAACGGTTACAATCAGTCTGTAACGACGACAACGACGACGACGACGACGACGACGACGGGGACGAGGATGATGATGATGATGATGATGATGATGATGATGATGATGATGATGATGATGATGATGATGATGATGATGTC